CAACAACCCTATGCGGCCCCTTAAACCAGATTTCCTGTACCGCGAGTAGTTAAAAAGATATTATAACGACACTTATATAATAATAGTCCAAATATTTGTTATAAGTTCATAATAACAATACTAATATTAAATATAAGCTATATTAAAATAGGGTAAGCATAACTTACTTACAAGGGGGTTTAGCTAAGAGTCGGGCTCTGCAGGGGCAGAACTTTGTTGCTGAACCTTTCTAAGAAAGATTTGTGCAACACTTCAGCGCTCACCTTACTATACTAAAACTACAGAAAGAGAAGTCGAATCACGAGGGATCGAAATGCTCGGGGGGATAAGAAGAGAAAGACTCTTGAATCAAAAGAATGATGCAAGAAATATAAGAGTCCAAGCCTCTTATTTATAGTAATTGAATTTACAAAACTACCCTCCATAATTACTTAATGACCTTATAGTTATATAAATGACTAAACACCCCTTCATAATACTATTTTAAATAGATTTAACGATATTTGTACTAAACTAATGCCGAAAGTACTCAACACTAGTCTTATACTAACCGCATTGTCAATACCTTTCTAATGATATATACATTTGTATATATATATGTGTACGTATATATATATATATATATATATATATATATATATATATATATATATATATATATATATATATATATGATTTATACTTTAATTTAATACATAAATATGCTATTATAATTTGTAACTCGTTCATACGAACTCCATTTTGATGTTCTTTATATCCACGCGTTGGTATTTATGAGTACTACAACTTTCATTTAGACGTCATTAACTAATATTCATTCTATATCAGATTTACAAAATTGTATCGAATTTATCGCGCTCGAAGTGTAGGCACCAAGTTTTGTCCATATCTTTAACATACGAGCTCTACTCTCGACATTCTTTATATCCGCGCGTAGGTAAAACCAATATCTAAAACTTTCATTTACACTCCGTCGGCTAATTCTCGACCGATCTTAAATTTAACAGTACGAGGTGATTATACTGTTAAATGTCCGCGTAAAATTCATAACTTCTACATACGGACTCCGTTTTTGTTTGTCTTTTTAACGTTGAGTTCCTATTAATGATATCTTCAACTCTCATTTAAGTCGCATAGGCCAAAAACCGCTCGAACTAAAATTCGAGTCTCGGGTCGTGCACTGTTTTGCTAAATGTTAGAAAATTTATAACTTCCTCATACGAAGTCAGATTTGGGCGTTCTTTTTATGGACGCTCTCAGTTTAGCATATTCTATGAATTTTGTTTAGATTACTAAGGCTAAAAAGTCTTCCATCGTAAATTCACTATTTACGTCTCTCAGTGTCATACCGGTTTTGCCGAAAAACTTCGACGGGTCATAACTTCTTCGTTATAACTCGAATTTCGGCGTTCTTTATATGTACTGAACCCTGGTAACATATACTACAACTTGGTTAAGATTAATCCTTATAAATAATCATCAAAAACTCATTTTTGATGCTTATTGTCTCTAAATTGACTAGCCCGGATCTGTGGGCGTTACAATAATTCATCTTGAACTGATCATACCAGGGAGGCAAAGAGTACAAGACTATGTCTATAGCCAGCTCTTCATCAATGTTGACATTCAACTTGATCAAACGATCCACATATATTTGCATCCTTTGTAGGTGGGTCATGATGGACTCTCCATCATTCATTTTGGTTGTTATGAATGAGGTGACAATTTCGTACCTCTTTTGACGTCCTATTTGATGGTACTTTTCCATCAAGTCCTAGCACATCTCGTAAGGCCAAAAATCCTCATAGAATAGCTACAGCTCGGGAGTCATAGTGGCCACCATAATGCACAACACTTTGGTCGCTTCCTTGCATTTGGCCCTATAGTCAACCATTTCTTCGGGAGTAGCACTTACTTCATTTATCTCGACGAGTTCTTTGTCGAGAATATGTTCCTTATCCTCGTAACGTAGGGTGATTCTGATGTTTCTGATCCAATCATTGAAATTGGATTCATCAAAAGTGACCTCCCATAAATGTTTAGGAGCGAAAGTGGGTTCGAGGAGTTGTTGTTGGAGGTTGAGCCACGAGCATTGTTCGGGCCAAACATCTGAAAAAGAAGAAAGACAAGTTTTTTATTAGATAGGAAATCCTTAATATAACACCTAAATGAAATATTAAAGCTAGTACCCAACATAATAATTCACAATTAAGAAAAAGGATGTCGTAATCCAATTGTAAATTATTTGAAGGTAGGTAAATGACGATTTACCAATTCTACCACGAAAAACGAAATTTAAATAAATTAGGTTTTATTAAATGAAATTCTAGATCTATTAAGATTCGTTGAACTATTCAATGGTATGTTTAATCTCGATTATGCCCTTCAAGTTTGGGACTGTGATACGGAGGATCATAAACAGTGTGTGAATAACCATGCAAATTAGCGTGATAATCTCGATGTCATTTACCACCTAATCAATGTGCTGGTTAACTACACACACTCCATTGATCTATGATAATTTACGAGCTACCCATTGCCTCTCTTTGTTAGTCCAAGTTAGTGTGTCGGTTAACCACAAATGCTCCATTAACGACTTGACAAAGTGTAATGTGCAATTTCATGGATTAGCATTAAATTCACATTTTCCTAAAGTAACTAAGATTGGGAATTAAAAAAAAATAAACATTTAGTTACTTTATATTTATCATTATACTTATTAATGAGAGAATTAATGTCCGATCATACTCGTTCAGCTAACAAACCCCCAATAGTCAAGAGTGTGGTGGGTAAGAATTGATACCCAATAACAATCATTTTATAGATCGTTTCCTTAAACACAATGACGGGGCTAGTAGGGGCAGGCGGATGTTATGCCCCCTCCAACCCTTTTAACCTTTTACTAATAATAATATTAATAGTTCAATTCATATTTAATTTTAAGCCCACTTCAATAAACTAAAACCTAAAGACCCCTCCATCTATTTTAATTTTTGAAAGTCACTACCTCTTTTATTTAGTTACAACTATTTGTTCTAGTTTAGAAGACGTTGTAATTTAATATACAACACTATAACATATTTAATTCTTGTAATTTATAATTAGTCATTTAATTATGATTGGTAATTTGGTTTTTAAAATCATATGGCATAATAAACACGTAAAGAAGATGTTTGATTCTTTCTCAAACGAAAACAAAATGTTCATAATAAATGTCACAACTTGAAAGGAATAATATTATCGATGAACCAATTTATGTTGACAAATTTAGGACATGTAAAATTTGATTTTTTGATTCGTTATCCCGAAGAACAATCTTCAATCTTAAAAAATTCTAGTAACCAATAATTTGCTATTGTTTTATTACTATGTCAGCCCTTTTATTCGTAAATCTTGGCTCTGCACCTGATTAAACATCCCTTATAGACCAACTTCGTGAATCAGACATACTAACGGTAAGATTGACTTTTTTTATACATATATAATGTTAAACTTTTAATATATATATATATATATATATATATATATATATATATATATATATATATATATAAGAGTGTATTTTAAACATTTTAAAACACCAGGGTTTTTAATATAATTTAAATTTTTTGAAATTAATGCCTTTTAATTTAAAATCTTAAATATTAAAAACTTTGATTTAATAATTATCCAAAATTAAACAATTACTTTAAATTATTAAATCTCATAAGGATTATCCAAAATTAAACAAATAATTTAGCCTAATCCCTTTATCCCTTAGATTTTTGAAATTTAATCTTGGGGACGGCATTTTCGAAATTCTAGGGTTAGCAAAACCTAAAAATCGAAATCATGAGGGTCAAATGAAAGGGTTCAAAAAAACCCTAACCAACTTTCGAAACTAGGGTTTAGAAACCCTAATTTTGAAAAATCCAAGCCCTAGGTTTTAAAATCCATAAACCCTAATTTTATCAAGTTCAATCTATTGTATCAAATATAATTGAAAACAAAACTAAAAGCTCTAATACTATTGATGGGTTTTATACAAACAATCATATGTGTGCATGCAACCCTATATTGAATCTATGTTTTCTCTATTTGACATACAAGCATTGAGCACAAAAGGAAAAACCTAATATGCATCTAATAATTCAAAATCTACAACGATTAGATCACATCCCTTTGTTGCTATATAGTAATAAAAACCACTTCTTGAAGATCCTTTGCTCTTGAGAACAAGTACCACATATGTAGTACCTCTAATGGCTTACAAACACACTAGGGCGAGAGGATGAATATGAGAGAGAGGAGAGAGGAGTGAGTTTCTCAAAAAATAGGCTCTTCTAGGGTTTCCAAAAGGGTGGTCGAATTCAAGAGCCAAGGGGATCTATTTATACTTGAGGCTAGCTAGGGTTTTAAGGTGGAAACCCTAATTCCTTAGCTTCTGGCCTAAGCAAGTCCATGAACCCCTTCCTTAGGGATTGTACGAAAATCTCTAGAACCTTCTATGGATTTTCAGCCCTCCCTAATAAGGGTGATCCAATGGCACAAAACCTTAACTATCAAATATTTACAAAACAGCCCCTGTACTTGCAGTGCGTTCCTTTAATTGCAAAATTAATTCCAAATTAATTTCTGATTAAACACTTATTAACAATATGATTTCTAATTACTATATTATTCTTATAATATATTAATAAATCATATTTAGGCACCAATTTATTATTCTAAATAATAAAATTAGACTCTCTCTCCAATAGTTATCATTTTCTAGTTACTAGTGTGAAGGCAACCCAAAAGGACTATACTACTATCAAATCAAGTACATACCAATTATAGTTATGAGCTTAGACACCTAATACAACATTTTTAACTTATGATATTGACATATATAATTTCCCTAAAAATATTTCTACATGAATTACCGCATCCAAGTACTCCCCGAGTACTCGCTACTTGGTAGTCGGCCGAATATGCGCCAAGTAGAGAGTTCTACAAGCATGGCTATGAGCTAATGGAATTCAAGCATTTAGACACCGCAGTTCCAACTCTTTAAATACAAATTGATCAACCTGGCAATAAGAACAACGCAATATATAAAATGCAAGATACTCAAATGACCAAGTAATATTAGAAATTATACAACTCGATTCACTATGATTATAATCTTAATGGGAGATAACAAACATATTACCTACTTGAGACTCTATCATTTCCTTTGACTAATAACCATCAAAGAATTCATTTCAAATCTTTGTCATGAAATTAGTTTAAAAAATGGGAAAAAGTAAGCATATATCACTAAAGAAACCCGAAACCCTAGAAAGATGAACAAATTAAAATAAGATCAAGGATAAAACCGACCATAAGACATTTTCCTCTCGTATTAGAAACAGTAACAATCTAGTAAAGAATCCAGGAACGAAACCCAAACACACCTTCAAAAGTTAGTAATTAACATCAAAGATACAAACCGTATAAATATGGTATGCTTGTTTCACCTTATTAGGCTTGAGGCATGAAAGAGATATCATTGAAGTTGAAGATCTTGCACAGAAGCCGTAAATGACTCGAAAACATACAAACTTCAACTAGAGTAGGAAGGACATATTGGGAAATATCATAACAACAAAATTATTCCTTCTTCTCCATGAAACTACCATATCAGTCGACATATCTGTTGGATTAGGTGTCTAAGCCATAACTATAATTTGTATGTACTTGATTTGATAGTAGCATGGTCCTTTTGGGCTGCCTTCACCATAACAACTTGACGGGATGACTTTTGGAGAAAGAGTTTAACAAATAATTTATTAATATATTATAAGAATAATATATTAATTAGAAATCAAATTATTTAATTAGTATTTAATCAGAAATTAATTTGGAACTAATTTTGGGATTAAAGGAACTGATTGGAAGTATGGGGATTGGTATTGCAAATCAATGATAGTTGCAGAGTTGGGTTGATGGACTCCTTTGGAAGGGAGTGGATGAAATCTCTAGGAGGCCCTATAGAATTTCGTCCAAGGCTTCTAGGAATGAAGTCCATGGACTGGTTAAGGCCTAAACAATCAAATTTTGGTTTCCACCTGAAAACCCTAGCAGCCTCAGCTATATAAAGAACCCCCTGACATGTGATTTTCGGCTCTATGCATTCTAAGAGAAACCCTAGCCGAAAATTATAGTGTTTCACCCTCTCTCTCACTCATCCCTTTTTGTTGGTGTCTGTGACTCTATTAGAGGTGCAACACTTGATGCACTAGAGCTTTTAAGAGTCAAGATCATCCGTGGAATCCTTGTTACTACGAGATAACAAGCAATGTAACATTCTAACCTTAGTTTTCATATAGATCTCAAAAATTGTATGCTAGTATTAGACTTGTTTCTTTGGAATTTCTATTTGCATGTATAACTAGAGAAAAACTTAGATCCAAAGCAATTAGGGTTGCATGATCACATATGAATCTTATTATGCTCAAAACCCATCAGGATCTTCCACTAAAATTTAATGTTTTGGTCTGGACCTACCTCACACATATGCATATTAATCAATCCAACAATTTTGTCAAACAATTGGTCTACATCATTAAAACCAAATCAATTCTCAATACAAGATTGAGAAGTGCTTTGAGCATGAATAAACATCTTCAAATATCAAATTCTTGTTATTTAATCAGTGCAAGTCATACATAAAAAGAATAAGCAATGATCGATTGAGTGTTTGACCTTAGTGATTTTTTGGTTTTCCAAATTGTTTTCAAGTGTTGTCGAATGATTGACTATCAAGTGAGATTCTGTAAAAAGGAGGAAGATAGGATAGCCACCAGATTCCATTTTGCCTTTCTTTATAGGTGAAGAACATCTAAAATTGGAGGAGAGTAAGTTGAGTGAGGCGTCGATAACTTCTTCCCCCACATACGCAATAACTCCTGGAATTGACTCCTTCAACTTTTTGATTTTTGTTCCAGAACATTGTTGGAAGCTTCACTCTTTGCAAAGGAAAGTAGAGACTTAGAGGTGGAAACCTCCTACAGACTACGCAAATAACACGAACTAAGAAAATCCCTAAATCAACATGACGTTTGAATGCTCTAGTTAAACAAAATTGATGCTAGAGCGTATAAATGTTACTTGTTTCTTGAAGCACGAAAGAGATACGTACCCTAAAGAATCAAAATGAAGTCAATTAGCCAAACTAAATTTCCACCCAAATGAGAAGAAAAAAATGGAGTCTAAATCAGGATTATATACGTGAATTGAGGAGGTTATAGAACGGGAAGATAAGAACCGTGGAGGAGGAATTGAAACGGAGATAGAGGATGAGAAGACGGAGTCGTGGGATGTTGAGAAAACGATGATAAGAACCACCACAATAACCATAAATACCGAGTTATTGCGGCCAGAATTGCATCTGAAAAAAAAATAAAAAAAAATAAAAAAATATCGGAGGGCTGAAAATAAAGAAGTGGTTATTCACTATTTGTCGTTAGTAATATTAGTAATTTGATGAAACATATCCCAACAAACTCATTTGTAATCCAACCTAAACCCATTTATTTTCTACATTATTGTATTTACATACAAAAATCGCATGAAATAAACAAATATAAAAAAACATAGGAAATGTTCCTACAAAACCTAATCAAGATCTATAAACACCCTATAGGGAAACAAAGATAAATCTTCAAAACTGAAACACAATTATACAAAAATTATCTATAGACTATATAATTTTACGTTCTTTCTGCTTGAGCAAGGTGCCCCATTTGATCCGCAAGACTATTTACACTCCTCATACTCCACCAAAACTTCCCATACTGATCTAATCCCCTCCGGTCATTCTCCGTCGTCGAACCACCAGGATTCTCAGTCAAAAACTGTTCCCAAAACCCATCATTAACACTCACCTGCTCGATCCCCCTGTTCCCACTTCCTTCTTCTTCTTTGCTTCCGGCCGCTGTATTCAGTTCAGAACTTGCAGGTTCGTGCTCTGACTCCGGCAGCCAGTTTTTCCGGTCAACAGTCTCCTGAACTTCCGTCAATAATTTCTCGCAAAACATCAGAGAAGATTCTAATTGCTCCACCAATTCTAGATCTAACGCCAAAAGGGTGTTTGTAGTTAGCGTCTCAGAGATTGGGATGTTACAAGGACATGACTGATCGTTGTGAGGTTCAGCCGAAAGTCGCCTCTTACGATCGTTATTATCGGGGACTTGAGGAGTAAAATCGCATGTATTCAATGGTTTTTGCAGAATTTGATCCAAAGCACAGAGGAGATCTTTTTGGTTTTTTCCGGCGGCTTTTAACCGCTCCGTCAACCTACGTGCCGTTGATTCGATCTCATTTTGTTCTTGTTGCTGCGTTTGAAACTCTAATGATAACGATTGTTTCTCGTAATGCAGCCTGTAAATCTCCTCGTTGTATCGAATTCTTTCTGATTCGGTTAATGGAGAAGCGATAGAAGATGAAGAAGCTCCATGGATATAGAGGTTCTGCATCGAATGACTATGAACGGGCTTTTTTCTATGGATGTTCTTCAAGAGATGTGGTTGACCTCTAATGAAGTCTTCGTTTGCAAATTCCCATTGTTCTGGATCGATTTTCCGAAAACCCTAAAAGATTAAACGCGTAAACGAAGTTAATTAACGATTAGTAAAAATGAAACGATTAAACGAACCCTATGAAAGGAAATGTCTTTTGAGAGATGCGTTTACATATGTGTTGAGTTGTCTGATGAAGCTCGAGAAATTATTGTGCTTGAAGTATCTTGGAAGCAATTCGCCGGAAAACTCAGGTGGGTTCCAAACGATGAAGCTCCGATCGTTGTGACTCCATGATACGATCGTATCAGTTAACGGATCATCGACCATTTCGTAGGTTTTCGCGATGAACGGAGGCAGACTACTTTGAGCATCATTCATTTCGGTTTCTTACCACAAAAAACTTCCAAGAATCCACTCAATCCAGTCTTTTTTATATGTATTTCCCAGATGAATTCGAACAAAAGCATGAATTTTAACCAGAGAGCTGAAGAAGTGAAGATAAAACTCCTTGTTCCCCCAAATATAGCAAAACCCAGCAAGATAAGGTCACTTTATCTAGTCAAATTTTATGTACTTCCTACCAAAAAAGACATGAATGAGACAAATAAGAATTTACGATGATTGCTTCGCAAAAGGGAAACTTTAATTAACAAATTCGTTAACAACAGCAACCCATTTCCGGAAGCTTAAAGCAAAAGCATCCCATTTAGGGGTGTAAACGAGCCGAGCCGAGCCGAGCCGAGCCCGAGCTCGGCTCGTTTAATTTGAGGAAGCTCGAGCTCGATTCGAGCCTTAAAATGAAATTCGAGTTCGGCTCATGAACAATTTATTGGGCTCGTTTAAGCTCGTTTAAGCTCGCGAGCCCATTAATTGAAGCTTGGCTCGAGCTCATTTAATTAACGAGCCTCATATTTAGGCTCGAGCTCGGCTCGGGCTCGTTTAATTCGATCTCGAGTCGAGCTTTTAACGAGTCGATCCCGAGTAGCTCACGAGTAGCTCGACTCACTTACACCCCTAATCCCATTTGTACAATTGTGGGAAATAGACATACAAAACACGCAATTAAATATTCCAAAAATAACGGAAACAATTGCACACCAGATGTTCGACGAATTACCTGAGAGAGAAAATACCAAAATCTGGAAATTCCAACTTGGGTTCTTGAATTGAAGTCAATTATATGCTGGAAGGCAGGAATCGAGGTTGAAGAGTTGATATTCTTTACGTATTCATTCGCAATCTTTACAACGTGGATTGATTTATAGTAATATTTTTTGTAGAAAATTGATTGACTGACGTATGTGCTTTGGTGGGCTGTTGACCCTATCTTCTCGAAGTCTTTTTGGACTTTGGTCAATGGTCCTGTGATTGTAGATTTCAACTTAGTCCCTTGTAGTTATGGATAAGTTACATGTTTTACCCCAATCTTATTAGAAGTTAAAAGTTAGACCTAACCGAAAAAGTAAAAACCTAAATCTCATAGGGTTTCATAGTCATCTGAATTTAATTTTAACAATATTAAAACGAAAACGAACGAATAGTTATATCACTTGTGTAAAATCCAAGTGTTTTTTTTTTTGAAAGAGTGTAAAATCCAAGTGTTATAAAATGAGGCTTTGCGTTACCATATATTGTTTAATTGAATGTTTATGTATGATAAAAAAGTTATTCTAGGACCATTCCTCAAAACCATACCTTAAAAAACCAATCTATACAACGAATTTGAGGTTCGATTTTCTAATATCTTTGTTGAAAGTTCAAATCTCATTCAACTCATAAATCTGACCACGAATTTGTGATCTTATTTTTCAATTCCCCCCCTTATAAATTCAAAGACTTTATATCATCCACTTGTTCGGCGTCAATGCTAAAGGACCACTAAATTACTACAATTAAGGTTATTTTGATATCGTGGAAGTACATGACATCACAAAAAGTAATTATTCATTCGCTAATTCAAATGTTTTTGAATTTCTCTAGACTTTCCTGTCAAATACAAACTTGTAAAAGAACCATTTTCTCAGGGATTGTGTTTTCCATGTTATTACTTCGAAGAATAATTGTTTTCATACCATGTTATGTATTAATGTAGCTTACAAAGACAACATGTATTCATGAGTGATTAAAAGGTATTATTTTTTACAATCACAACAATCTAATCGATCACCTCCATCTACCAAATCGGAAGTCGTGTTGTTGGTGATCAGATGAAGCAATATTGTTCTTAGACTTAATTTCTGAAGTTAACCATTTGTGAGGTGGCATGTGTACCTTAGAGATATTGTTATGAAATGGCACGTGTGGAGGTTAAATAATGCAACATTGTTGAAATCAGTGCCTCATACTTTATTTCTCGACTTAAACATTTGTGAGATATTGTGCATACATTAGAGATCCCAATACACGTCTCAAAACTCGAGGACATTAGCAGCATGTCACGAGTTTCACCACAAGAAGCTTTACTTGATAAACCATGAAATGACGTATTCACCGGCAATGGAGACATATGCACTTGTGATGAGTATGTATATTTTGTGGAATCGGCTATATATATGATTTAATAATAATTTACTAAAATTGATAAAGACAAAAAATACAGTAGTTTTTCACCGTGAAAGAGTCCACTACAATAGGAAAACACTAGACGATATATGTTTTCCCATACCTCGCAGTGCCACGTTATCTCAACCTCGTAGTTCTTCTTAGTCTAATATGTGGCAAAAAAGAGTTATAAATACGAATAGTAGAGAACTAGCCCATGTGTATGTGAGTTGTAAGTAAACTGTTATTATTTTAAATTTATATAAAAGGTTTCACTAAACATTTAAGAAGTGATTATCCAAACTCGAAGGAATTAAATTTAAAGATCGAGAAGTTTGCTTTATTAGTTTTTTCATAACAACAATTAATATCTTGAGCGCTTTAGCTACTTGGGGGACTGAAGAGGGTTTCGCCAAGCTAGTTAAAAACTTAGTTGATAATGCAAAACTTGAATAACAAGATAAAAAAAAAGAGTACATTCGGGAGAAAAAAACTTCGAGCAGCACCAATGTCAGACAATGTCTTTGTAAGGTTGCCGATAGACATTTTACAGCAACAGTGAAAGTTTTATGTTCTTCGGGGGTTGCTCCATTTGGAGGTGATACCAATTAGAGGCATTGGAGGATAAGCATCCATACAAGTCACCGCCTTCCATGCACAACACCATATTTTCATAACCTCCCCTGGTAGTGGATGTTGACAATGTACTTGGGGGAATTAAATCCTTCCCTGAAGGTACCTCGTGTGGGAGAGACGGGTTGAGAGCTCAACACATTTTAGATGCCCTTTGTGGAGAAGGTTCGGTTATAGCCAAAGATCTTCTACGTGCTATTACTTTTGTGGTTAATCTATAGCTAGGGGGAAGATGCCCTTCGAGCTTGGCAGAATTTGTTGCCTGTGATCCTCTCACGCCGCTTTTAAAACCTAACAAGGGAATACGACCTATTGCAGTAGGTACTATATGGAGACGTTTGGTTTCCAAGTTGGCCATGAAAGGGATTGGTAAAGAAATTGCCAAATATCTCAATGATTTTCAGTTCGGATTCGGGGTGTCGGGTAGTGCTAAGGCCGTTTTACATAGCGCCAATAGGTTGTTGAGTGAGTGCCACGATGACAAATCTTTGTCCATGCTTACCGTGGACTTCTCTAATGCCTTTAACCGTGTTGATAGATCCGCATTACTTCATGAGGTCAGATTGAGGTGCCCCTCTATTTCCTTGTGGGTAGAATTCCTTTATGGTCAAGCAGCAAGGTTATATCTAGGCAACACGCATATTCGGTCTTCTACTGGGGTTCAGCAAGGAGACCCCTTGGGACCACTTCTCTTTGCCATTGTGTTGCACCCGCTCTTGCATAAGATTAGAGACAATTGCAAGATTCTTCTCCATGCATGGTACTTGGATGATGGCACACTTATCAGATATTCGGAGGAGGTGGCCAAAGCATTGGACATCATTACGGTGATTGGCCCAAAATTGAGCTGAATATCAAGAAAATCGAGCTCTTTTGGCCCTCGTGTGATGGTAGGAAGTTACAAGAGGGGCTATTTCCAGCAGACATCGGGAGGCCGCGTTTGGGGGTGAAACTTCTTAGGGGAGCTGTTAGTAGAGATGCTAGTTTCATTCGTAGCTTAGCCATAAAGAGAGCCGAAAACGATGTGAATTTCATGCGCCTTCTTCCACAATTGTCTGATCCCCAAAGTGAGCTCCTTCTTCTTCGGTCTTGTATGGGTATTGCTAAGCTTTTCTTGGGGTTGAGGACATGCCAACTCGTTCACATGGAAGAGGCGACAATATTCTTTGACAATGGATTGCGCGGGGCGATTGAGGACATTGTGGTTTGTGGGGGCCCTTTCTTTGGTGACATACAATGGCGAATTGCTTCCTTATCCATTAGGTTTGGGGCTTTGGGTTTATACTCGACAATAGAGTGTAACACCATAAATTTCAAAACAATTTTTCTTTTGAAAAACGTATAATTCTCAATACATATTTCACAAAACGTCATCTATTAAAATCACAAAACATAGCTCCATGTTTAATAAAATGGTAATCCAGGATCCTCCTAACTCTTTCTCTGGTGTGTACAATCAAGTCGGTGTCGTCCTACGATCCTGAGAAGAAAACCTGAAACACATAACACATAGCACAGTAAGCACGAAGCTTAGTGAGTTCCCCAAAATACCACATATAACACATATTAGCCACTCGAGGCTATAACTATGTGGACCCTCTGGTCCTAACTTTGTGGACCCTCTGTTCCTAACTCTTTGAACCTTCCGGTTCTAACTTTGTAAGCTCTGGAACATACACAACATAAATCACATAGAAATAATGCAGTGCATCACAATCACATAAATAGCATACAAGATACTCTGCCATATAACTCTAATTACCACTATAGGTAAAGTATAGTGAGAAGACTCACCTCGAAGGAAGAACAGCTCTTATAAACACCACTGCCACGTACCAGCCTCTAACTCTGTGCCAAACCCACAATTATCTCAATTAAGAGCTAAGTCCAACCCTTCACTTATTGGGTCTAAAGATAGACCACCTACTAGCCCATTAATGCCATGAACCCATTGGGCCCACCAAGGCCCAATAATAAACGGGCCCTCACACTGCCCAAAACCCAAACTAAAAGGCAAGCCCAACCCAAGGGCCCCAAAGCACATATATACACTTCGCTGGTCCAAGACTCTATTGCATGAAGCCCAAACTCCAGGCCCAACACTCAAGGCCCAAAACATAACTCAAAAGCCCACGGAAGGAGTTACGCGAGGCGTACCTCCTTGGTACGTTTAGCGTACTCAAGCGCGCCTGAAACTGATCGGG